ACATCTCATTCACTTCCTTGCCTAGCATCAAGTCTGTCCAATTATACTCACTAAAAAAATTTCTAAGGTCACCATAATGTCCTCTCCTGAAGTCTGGTTTTTCAACTGCTTCAACCTCCTTATTTTCTTCCAGCTTATAACGCATTGCATACTTTATTCCCAAAAAGACATGGTCACTTTTACCCAAGGGAGGAAGGTACTGAATGTCAAATATCTCTTCCTCCTTCCTGGTAAATATCAAATCTAGCATGGAGGGAACGTCCCCTTCCCTCATCCTCGTAGCTTGTTTAACATGTTGATACAAGAATGTTTCCAGGATGAGGTCTACAAATTTACAGGTCCAAAAATCTTCTGTTTTAGCTTCATATGCTTCCCAGTCTATGGATTTCAAGTTGAAGTCACCGACTATCAACAGTCGTGATCTATCGTTATCCGCTCTCGCTATAATCTCTCTCATTATTGTTATAAGACCTTCACGTTTACTATCTAGCTCCTCCTTTGACCATGTGCTGCTTGGCGGTGGACTATATGCATTTATCATCATTAGTTTATCATCCTCATAGCAGATCTCTAGTGCTATTATGTCAACTTCTTGTGGATTGGCAGTCATTATTTCCTTCACCTTTAGGTGTTCTTTTACCAGCACAGCAACGCCACCGCCTTTCCTAATTTTTCTGTCCCGTCTCCAAATTGAGTAGCCCCTTGGGAATATGACCTCATTTAAAATTACATCTTCAAGTTTTGTCTCCGTGAGTGCAACAATGTCTGGTGTCTGCAGCTGTATTACATCACTTAACTCCAGTATCTTCGATCTCACTCCATCTATGTTGGTGTATGCAATCTTCAGGAACTTGTTCCCCCTCTCCTTATTCTTCACTCCCCCTCTCTCTATTGATTTTGTTGGTTTGCCTTTATGTACCACTTTACTGGTTTGCCTACCCCTATCACTTTGTAGAAAAAAGAATTTATTTCTTCTTCATTCCTGCTCTCATTTAAATGTTTTGCCTCGGCGAGGTTCAGTTTCAGCTTCTCTCTATCTTCTTTTGAAAGATCTCGTCTTAACGACCACCCTTTCCCATCCTCATCCCTTTGCAATTTTCTAGCATTCCTTAGTACTTCTTCCATCTGTTTGGCACCGTTTAGGGTGATCCTCAAAGGTCGATCTTTCCCTTTTACGTACCTGCCTATTCTCCTGTAGTCGCACACATTCTCTCTGTTTGTAAGACCTTCCACGAGGCCAACAATTTTATCTACTACTTTAGCTTCTTCTACAGCTCTTTCTGACCTAGATGTTATCGCCTTTTCTTTGCAGCCAAAAATGATCAGGGACTTACTCCGATCAACTGTGTTTTGCACCAACTTCGGGTTAGATGCCAATTCTTTCCTCACTTCTAGCCTAATGTTTGTTTTATCTTGGTTGCTGCAGTGTTTGACTTCCTTTACTGCTTCTTCTATTTTTTCCTTCTCCTTGGCCACTTGTGCATAAGTGAGTTGCATATCTTTCTTGCACTGTTCTATTCCCTGTGTAACTTCCTCCATCTGTGCTGACAAAAGCTGTTTCTCCTGTTGAATTTCCTTGCCTAACCTATTGTAGTCATTTATGTTTAAATTTACTTTAACTTCTTCCAAAGCTATTTTTAAGAGTTTATTTTCTTCTTCCATGGCTTTGCAATTTGTTTCCAATTGATTCTTATCCTTGCGCAAGTCTTTCACTAAACCCTCAAGACATAAAACTTTGCTATTCAAATGGTCATTACTTTCTTTCAATTTACTAATTATTTCTACATGAGAGTTCACTATAGTATCTAAATTTACCAACTTGTTATGTAGACTACTAATATCAATGCTTTCTTCATTGAATCCCTCAAAATCAAGCTCTGTTTTGTTTTTCCCCTTGCCAGTGGCCATCTTGAATGTTCTTCTCTGCACTGTAAACACTAGGGCAACTTTTTCTCATCCGATTCTTCACTTCCCTTAGCACTTTCCTGTTATCTCACCTATTTTTCAAGAGCACTATACCTTTATGTTCTGTGGGACACCACTCACTACCATCAACCTGTACTACAATACTTAGGATTGTTGAAATATGCTGGAGCTCCTCTGCTGCAAGTGTTGACCCTAGGGGTGTCACCTTTTGAATACACCTTTTATGGTGTAGACTTCCTCGGGTACAGTGAAAGCTGGGAGGGCATTCGCTGCATAGAGCATGTTCAGAATCCCCACATATTCCTGGTAGTTGGGGCCAGCAGTCTTGTCAGCCACCATAATTAGCGCGTACACCGTACTGTCAGGAGCCAGTATCTGTCGTGGCGAAGGCTGGGTCAGTGATTGGCCGGGGTGAGGTGGTGGTGAGAGCTGGGTCGGTGAGTGGCACCGACTGGGTGGACTGGGAGTTAGGCCCCATTGGCTGGGTTGCTGCGCAGTGTCTCCACCCACTCCCGGGAGCTTTGGGAAAATGACAGCTTGGATGTTGATTGAGGACGGTGCTCATTGAGTGGCATTATTCCGTATTCCTTTTGGTGTGGGTAGCGATGGGAGATAGCCATGTGGTTACCATCGCAGAAGAGACAACATTGGAAATCAGCTATGCAAATGGTGTAGTGGTGGTCCTCAGCATAGATACTACACTCAGTGACCCGGTCAGGGTATTTCTTGGTGGAGTGTGTATACTGTACTTGTAACACATGAAGTATTGTTGCAGATTGTAATAGGATTCCTTCTTGATCATGGCTAGTGGAATCTTGACTCAGGAGGACTTGAGCCCTTGTGTGGTAGCAAGGTTTGAGTGAGCAGACATTGTTGCAGATTGGTGGAGAAGGTGATTCTCTTTGGAGAAGGTCAATTTCATGGTCGTGCAGTCTCCAAATGTGCGATTGACAATTTTGAGATCGATTGGTATCATGGGAGAGTTCTCAGCTTCGATGGCCTCCACAATGTCTTGGAGGTCACGGTCAGTGATCTATTTGCTGGGTCCCCCTGATGAAGACAGATCTCTCGGCTAGGTGCTGCTGAAAGAAAATCAGGCTGATATGCACTTTTTCAAGTGCTGTGCAGATAGGCAGTGTTTCGAAGTGGTCGATGTTATCCTCTCGTGAATTGAAGAGATCAACATCCACTCCCTGGTAATTTTATTTTAATTTTGAGCCTAACCCCAGACCGGGCTCAGGGAGAAGAAGAACACCGATCTTATAGCAGGAAGATTGTGCCTATCACAGCTACTTGACCACTACGACAAAGTCACTGACTTTGTGACTTTGGCATTAGAAGAAAAACAGAATGCAGATGTGGTATACATGGACTTTGCAAAGGCATTCAATAAATATGACCATGGAGTGATAGCACTCAAAATGAGGTCAAAGGAATAACTGGTAAAGTTGGATGGTGGATACTCAGTTTCTGTCGAACAGAACACAAAGAGTAACAGTCAACCATATAAAACAAAGTCCAACCACAGTTAAAAGCTCTGTACTTCAGGGTATAGTCCTTGCACCACTGCTTTTCCTTATTCTCATATCAGATATAGACAAAAATACAAGTCACAGCTTCGTATCATCCTTTGCAGATGACACAAAAATCACCATGCAGATTACCTCTGCTGAAGATACTGAAATACTTCAAGCAGATTTTTAATAAAGTTTTTGACTGGGCAACAGAAAATAACATGATGTTTAACAGTGATGAATTCCAGGTACTTGGGCATGGTAAAAATGAGGACCTTAAACATAATACAGGGTACAAAACACAATCAAATCTCCCCAAAGTAGGAAAGCAACATGTAAAGGATTTGGGAATAATGATGTCTGACAACCTAACGTTTAGGGAGCATAACCAAGCAAATATTGCGTTAGCCAGAAAAATGATAGGATGGATTAAGAGAACGTTCAAATCGAGGGATCCCATCACAATGGTTGTACTATTCAAATCACTTGTACTGTCCTGTTTTGAGTACTGTTCAGTGCTCACTTTCCTCTTCAGAGCAGGAGAGATTGCTGAAATAGAGAGAGTACAGAGAAAATATACGGCACACATAGAAAATATACGGCACACATAGACGTGATAAAGCACCTAAATTATTGGGATCGTCTCAAAGCTCTCCAAATGTACTCGCTAGAAAGGAGACGAGAGATATCAAATAATACACACATGGAAAATACTGGAGGGCCAGGTCTCAAATCTACACAGTAAAATAACGACATACTGCAGTAAACGATATGGAGGAAAATGCAGGGAAAAGCCAGTGAAGAACACGGGTGCTATAGGCACAATCAGGGAACACTGTATAAACATCAGAGGTCCACAGTTGTTCAAAATCCTCCCAGAAAGTATAAGAAATATTGCTGGAACAACCATGGACACCTTCAAGAGAGAACAGGTAAGAAGTTTTCTTGCTGGTTTTCTTTTCTGCAAGAAGTGCTGGTCCAACCGGGCTGTGGTGGATATGTGGGCCTGCGGGCTGCTCCAAGCAACAGCCTGTTGGACCTAACTCTTACAAGTCAAGCCTGACCTCGGGCCAGGCTTGGAGAGTAGAAGAATTCCCAGAACCCCCATCAAGCAGGAATCATCCTCCCAAACTACCAAAAACCTCTTTCAGGTATGCTTGCCATGCTTGGCCTATGACTAGACTTGATTTGTGTTAACTTTGTCCAAAAGGATGTGGCTTGGACTTGACCCTAGCTAAATATTATCTGATAACTCTTGAACTAAAAAAGCTTAATTATTATGTATAATATGATAGTTCTTATGCGGCTCATATTTGTGTCCACCTAATTCCCATTCATTTTTCATTGTACCTCACCTCACTTCACCTCTCTCTCCTGCCTAAATATGTCCAATACTTGACCTGTAAATCATTTATTCTGAAGCTGTATTAATATACAAAAGGAAATTCCTGTTTCAATTCTTCCTTCGTGGAAGGAAGGAAGGAAAACTGTCACATTTTCATCACGTGTTAATTTTCGTGATTTACACACACATTGTGTTTAATATATATTTTTTAACAGGTACTTTGAAGAAGGCATGAAGACCTGGGCCCATTTTGGGTCTTATGTGAGCGAATTAAGTGAAAAGCTAAGAGATGTTCGACACAGACAGGAAGAAGAACGACGTCATTTGTTAGCAACTAGAAAAATAATCAGCAATTCACTGTCAGCTGAAGTAAAACCAGAAGTGAGTTGTTATTCAGTTATTGGGCATTGTGTGAAATAATGTGTAGAGTTCAGTGTTTCCAGGATCAGCAGCCCTGTAAGTACAGTGTACTGTACTGAGTTGTTGCAAAGAAGTAATTCTAATTCCAGTTGCTGCTCATGCCTACCTTTGGCCAAGGTCACATATTAAGTGTATTTTCTGTAGGGAGCCTCTTTGGCTCCCTGGAGCTATCGGGCTAATATTCAATTCATTAGATCAGGGCATTAGTCATATGAGTTCAGCCTACCAGGGACCCCGAGCCAGAACCTGGGCCCCCTTTGAGAGACACAGGGAGTAATGGCTCCTGGAAAACCCACCTGTGATTGGAGGGTTTTCCTTATCTGCCATCGACCGGGGTTAGGCACCCAGAAAGGTAGGCATAACAAAACAGACCCAACATGTTAAGAAAATTGCAACCGAAAGCTGAACAGAGAGGCAGAACTCCCTCCAATCCCAAGGAAACTAGCAAAGGTCACACCCCATCACCGCGCTGCTCATCTGTGCAGTCTCCCACGCTGGGAACCTAGCCATTCCAGTTCTTCGGCTAATGCAATCCAGAGTAGTCGTCATCTCTGCCCTTGATTTCCTACGCAGTGTTTTGCCTTAGTGGTGTCCTCTGCTGTTCGTATTGTGGTGGCCAGGTGTACCTGAAATGTACCGGGGCTGCATGGACTTAAAGCAGCCTTCCCTAAGTTTCCTGCGAGTACTACCCTTGTGTGTCGGGTTTTCTTCCCTTGTGCATTTGGGATGCCATTTCTGTAGGGGTTCTTGCTGCTCGGCATCTACCTCGTCCTTGGGGCCAGCTGGGGTTTCGTGGGCCTTGTTTGGCATTGGGTAGTATTATGATGTTGTTGTAGTAGTTCTCGATCATCCGTCCTTCCTTTCAGACAACCCAACTCAAAACCTGGAGAGTGCATATTTTGACCAGATCACCCTGGGCGCTTCTGGCACTTGGAGACGGGTTCAACGTCACACGTTTAAGGGGTTGCTGTTCGAATTCTCACCTCGTTGTCACGTGCACGCATCCACTCTCTCCTTATTTGGTATGATCTCCTCAATCCCTTTTCCTGAAATATTACTCTGTACAACCCTGTCCACAGCTATGGTTCTTGGTTCTTTCCATGACTCCCCACTCCTTATTTGGTATGATCTCCTCAATCCCTTTTTCTGAAATATTACTCTGTACTACCCTGTCCACAGCTATGGTTCTTGGTTCTTCCCTCCCCCCCCCCCCCTTCCCCCTCCCCCTTTCCCCTCCCCCCCTCCCCCTTTCCCCCCCCTCCTCCCCTTCCCCCCTCCCCCCCTCCCCCTCCCCCCCTTCCCCCCCGCCCCCCTTCCCCCCCCCCCCCCCTCCCCCCACCCCCCCTCCCCCCCACCCCCCCCCCACCCCTTTCCCCCCCCCCCCCCCCCCCCCCCCCCCCCTTCCCCCCCCCCCCCCCCCCCCCCCCCCCCCCCCCCCCCCCCCCCCCCCCCCCCCCCCCCCCCCCCCGCCCCCCCCACACACACTCAAATGGTGCAAAGGCATGCTACTAAGTGGCTCCCAGAACTGAAGGGCAAGAGCTACGAGGAGAGGTTAGTGGCATTAAATATGCCAAAACTAGAAGACAAGAAAAAGAGGTGATATGATCACTACATACAAAATAGTAACAGGAATTGATAAAATCGATAGGGAAGATTTCCTGAGACCTGGAACTTTAAGAACAAGAGGTCATAGATTTAAACTAGCTAAACACAGATGCAGAAGAAATATAAGAAAATACACTTTCGCAAACAGAGTGGTAGACGGTTGGAACAAGTTAGGTGAGAAGGTGGTGGAGGCCAAGACCGTCAGTAGTTTCAAAGCGTTATAAAGAGTGCTGGGAAGATGGGACACCACGAGCGTAGCTCTCATCCTGTAACTACACTTAGGTAATTACACTTAGGTAATTACACTTAGGTAATTACACTTAGGTAATTACTCACTCACTGTCACTGTCTCTGTCTGTCTGTCTCTGTCTCTGTCTGTCTCTTCTTTCTTTCTTTCTTTCTTTTTCTTTCTTTCTTTCTTTCTTTCTTTCTTTCTTTCTTTCTTTCTTTCTTTCTTTCTTTCTTTCTTTCTTTCTTTCTTTCTTTCTTTCTTTCCCTCCTTCCTTTCTTTCCCAACTTCCTTTCTTTCCCTCCTTCCTTTCTTTCCCTCCTTCCTTTCTTTCCCTCCTTCCTTTCTTTCCCTCCTTTCTTTCTTTCCCTCCTTCCTTTCCTTCCCTCCTTCCTTTCTTTCCCTCCTTTCTTTCCCTCCTTCCTTTCTTTCCCTCCTTCCTTTCTTTCCCTCCTTCCTTTCTTTCCCTCCTTCCTTTCTTTCCCTCCTTCTTTCCTTCCTCCTTCCTTTCTTTCCCTCCTTTCTTTCCCTCCTTCCTTTCTTTCCCTCCTTCCTTTCTTTCCCTCCTTCCTTTCTTTCCCTCCTTCCTGTCTTTCCCTCCTTCCTTTCTTTCCCTCCTTCCTTTCTTTCCCTCCTTCCTTTCTTTCCCTCCTTCCTTTCTTTCCCTCCTTCCTTTCTTTCCCTCCTTCCTTTCTTTCCCTCCTTCCTTTCTTTCCCTCCTTCCTTTCTTTCCTCCTTCCTTTCTTTCCCTCCTTCCTTTCTTTCCCTCCTTTCTTTCTTTCTTCTTCTTTCTTTCCCTCCTTTCTTTCTTTCCCTCTTCTTTCTTTCCCTCTCTTTCTTCCCTCTCTTTCTTTCCCTCTCTTTCTTTCCCTCTCTTTCTTTCCCTTCTTTCTTTCTTTCTTTTTTTCTTTCTTTCTTTCTTTCTTTCTTTCTTTCTTTCTTTCTTTCTTTCTTTCTTTCTTTCTTTTTCTTTCTTTCTTTCTTTCTTTCTTTCTTTCTTTCTTTCTTTCTTTCTTTCTTCTTTCTTTCTTTCTTTCTCTTTTCTTTCTTTCTTTCTTTCTTTCTTTCTTTCTTTCTTTCTTTCTTTCTTTCTTTCTTTTTTTCTTCTTTCTTTCTTTCTTTCTTTCTTTCTTTCTTTCTTTCTTTCTTTCTTTCCCTCCTTTCTTTCTTTCTTTCCCTCCTTTCTTTCTTTCTTTCCCTCCTTTCTTTCTTTCTTTCCCTCCTTTCTTTCTTTCTTTCCCTCCTTTCTTTCTTTCTTTCCCTCCTTTCTTTCCCTCCTTTCTTTCTTTCTTTCTTTCCCTCCTTTCTTTCCCTCCTTTCTTTCCCTCCTTTCTTTCTTTCTTTCTTTCCCTCCTTTCTTTCCCTCCTTTCTTTCTTTCTTTCTTTCCCTCCTTTCTTTCTTTCTTTCTTTCCCTCCTTTCTTTCTTTCTTTCTTTCCCTCCTTTCTTTCCCTCCTTTCTTTCTTTCTTTCTTTCCCTCCTTTCTTTCTTTCTTTCTTTCCCTCCTTTCTTTCTTTCTTTCTTTCCCTCCTTTCTTTCAGCTCAAGTGCTGAAGGTCCTCTGAAAACGAGCCTCAGGCCTCCATCAAACTTTCTTCATCTCATAACCAGTCATTTATCTATATCCTGATTCTCTGCCCATATTCCTAAACTGTCGGTCAAATTTAACGAATTGTTTTACGTATGTATCTTCATGTCTATATTTCTTTGACCTCTTTTTTAGCTTAGGTCTTGCAGAATAACTCTCAAGATAGACTCGTTTCTCAGCTACCTGGGATCATAACAGTAGGGTGTGGTATTGTTGCTGATTGGGGCATCAAGGTGTTGCACAGCCAGCATACCTTCGCAGCAGCAGGTTCCTGTTTCCTCTGGGAACATTGTACTTTTGCAGGGATTTTCTTTTCCTTTTGTTTGCTTTGCCTGGTGGGGATCTACCTGGCGTGCGTCTACCTGGTATGGCTATTGGACCACTTATAATAAATTGGTGGCCCTCTGCTAGGCCCCCGAGATGAAACATGTAACAGGGGTTTCAGTGTTTGATCTCCTCCCTTTTTTACACTTTGGGGTCTAACTGGTTAGCAACACCTTCCCAGGCTTCTCATAGCAGTCAGCCTACGGGCCCGTGGAAAACCATGTCGGGTTGACCTATGGATGCTTCTTCAGAGTTCCAGCTCGCCTTGTATGAGTTTGAAGGTTGCTGTGTGCCCTTGTCTCAGGGTGACAGTCACTGCTTTTGCCTCCATCATGCTGCCTGTTGGGTCAACGACACCTTTGACACGGAGTCTTGCAAGTCGTGTTCTTTGCATGCTCTCCAGTTTACCCATTCTGATAACATTGATATTCGGGTCAATAGGCGGCATCCGCATTGCATGCTAGGTTTAGGTTGCTGCAATGAGCTAGGTTGGTTGCTCACCCGGCTGCTCCGGGGCTGCCCCGTTTTGGTTATAGGGACCCGTATATGGGGGCGTTAGACGCTTCGACTTGGTCCAGTCCATGCTCCCTGGTCCTTTCCCAGTTGTTTACACTGCACCTCCCTCCCCCCTCCTCCCTGCTTTTGGCTCCCAAACATCTGAGGGTTTCGGAGTTGGAGCAGGATTTAGTTGGTAATGAGACTTGGCCAGCTTCTGAGGCTGCCCTGTTCGAGTTAGGGACGGGGGGGCATTTGAGCCAGTTCCTCCTGCTGAGGCTTCTGGGTCTCACCAGCAGGCCCCCCTTCCTCTCCACCCTTCCCCTGGACTCTGCCTTTTCTTCAGGGGTTGAGGGTATGGAGGCCTGCTCTGTTCCGAGTCCTGATTTGGGGGATCCCGGGGCTTGGGAGGAGTTGACTTAGGGGGGGGGCTTGGCCTTCTTTGACCCCACTTGGGTGTTGGTGCCCTTTTCGCGGGGCTTGTTGTTTCAGGGGGAGGGGTTTTCTTACCCCCTCCCCCTTCCCTGTATGAGTATGTACTTGCTGCTTACCTCCTGTGAGACCCAGATTGTACCTCTGTCATGGATCCATCCTTGTTTGAGTTCATTTTTTCTTCCCCGTATTGGGTTCGTTTGGAGGTTCTAAAGTCTTTCTGGCTGGCAGATTGCCTGTTCTTTTCGTTGGGGATGTGGCATGGGTTCTGTCGGACCCTCATGCTTCAG